ATATGGTTATTTTATGCTTCTGTACTGAATGGGGGGAAGTCCCCATCATTTCATCGAGATCCTGGGCAATGCTGAGTACCCAAAATCTCAGCATAATTCACCAACACAGTACAGGCAGAAGCATTTTCTTGTGAGATTTCAGGTGCTTAGCATTTCCCCTGTGATCTCGTCAGGAGGATGTTGGCTTCCCCATGGGCAATAGCCGTGGTAGGGCAAGTATATTTTATACCTTTTCTCCACGCATAGTTATTCTGCTATTTACAATGGGGCCAGGGCTGGAGCCCTAATATATTAAGTGAACCTTGCTTTTTAGGTCTGCTTTAACTGTAGGGTAAGTGGCGTATACTGATGCAGGAGATGGAGCTTAAGATTATATTTTTATAATATCCTAAAAGCTAAATAGTTATAACAATAAAAAAGATAACACTGATCAAGATCCTGCCCTTCCTCCTCAACACAAAACCTAAAATTGTACTGCCCTAGATGTTCCTTTCACCAATCAGAGCCAGCATGGTCAAAGGTATGCTTTGTTCTATAAAGTGTCTATCTTTAAGAGACCCTGTCGCCAGAACATTCATTTTAACAACAATCCTCCCATATGTGCATGCAACATGTTTATGGATGTTATTTACTTGTAAAAGTCTTCCTTGTATAGATATCCACAAGATCTGAGACTGGTGCTGGGTGCTAACATCTTGGATGTGATGTCAGCAGCTCCAGCAGACTCAGTGGTATCACTCAAGTGACACTATAGCTGGGTGTGGCAACCTTCAGCCCTCCATCTGCTGTGGAGCTACAAATCCCACTGGGCATTGCAATATTCTGACAGCTAGAGGTATGACTCCCAGAGGCAGATGCATGATGGGTTTTGTAGTTTTGACACAGCCAAAGGTCCAGAGTTTGCTTACTTTGCTGCTTTCTCGGCAGCTACATAAAAGGGAAGGTAAGGGGAGAGGCAGAGGAGCTGGGCCAGTACAGAGAGTAGTTAGACACTCCTAGAAGAGGCAGGGGCTATGACTTGAAGGTGGGAGGGAGATGTGCTGGGGCATTGACACCTACTAGAGTAGTCACATTTCCTAGCAAATTGGTGGTGCATCACAATTGAATAAAAAAATAAATTTATGGAAAGGAAAAACACTGCAAGTAAGCATTTAAAATACTTGAATTTTGTAGGTCGGTGACAGGGGCTCTTTAGGTCTACTAAAAGCAAATGTTGATATGAGGCTTGAAATGAGGACTATTCAAAGCTGAAAACTCCAAACACTCTTCCTTTACAGTGAACAGTCACCGGAAAGTGTAAGTAATAAGGCACAGCAGAAAGTAATTACTTTAATACCCAGCCTAGTGAAATGTATTCCACAATCTTCAGTTTCCTGTATTTTAAGCCAATTTATCAAGTCATGAATAAAAAGACATACTGGGCTCGGAATAAAGCAAAGCAATGTGTAATTAATGCTGCATAATGAATAAAAGATTAGATCGCCAATGTAACAAAGAGACGATCTTTCAGTCATAAAGTGAAAGTTGCCCAGGAACATAAAACGGTAAGGAGGGGAAAAAATGCTTATTTATCTCCGACATAAATATAGCCAAAAGCAAAGCATCAAAGCACACAAAAAGCAATTATTGCGCCATGGGGTTGGTATATTATAGCTGGGATTTAATGCAGCTTTAATAAGCGTGTCTATAAAATTAATAATAAACTTCCATATGTGAAGACATTACGTTTCCTAATTTACGGGCACATCGAGGTAGAAAATTCATATTGGCGGAAAGGAGTCTTCTGAGGTTAGCCGAGAATACAAAACAGGTTGCTTCCCTCTGTTTCTAAATGCAGCCATGCATATTGATATTGTTATAAAAAAAAATATGAGAAACGATTCATTGTGTATTTCAACTGTTAGCCTCAGAGCTGTCACCTGCAGTGTAGATGTCAATATTAGAAAAATGATATGAAGAACAAAAACACGAAAGAGTATCTAAACCTAAAAACAAAAATGTAATATATTGCAGTTTACCGATCCTGAAATAAGGTGGCTGCATGGGAGGTTAAGTGAAAAATGCACTTTTAAACTGTTTTGAAACATTTCCTACATGTCTCAGTGTTAGTTTATTTCAAAGTAGATTTAAACCCAAAATTCGGGGGAAAATACGATAATTTACCACCACACAAGATGTGTAAATTACCATTAACAAGTTGTGTGTTATATAAGGAGGGCCACTGCAAAGTATAGAAATCTTACCTTGGAGAATGCCAACCTCTACATACCTACTCCGTTCTTCTGGGCACTGCGGGAGTCGAGGGATGCGACTCAAACGAAATGCAAAATGTTCCAGTTGCATCACGCCCCTCCTCTATATTTGCCCATTCACGAACTGCCTTGTATTCTTCACAAAGAATACAAGGTGTTCTGTGATTGGAAGAGGAGATGAGGGGGTGGAGATGTGACATCATGTCACATCACAGAACGCCTTGTATTCTTTGAGAAAGGTATTTTGTAAATAAGCAAGTAGCGGGGAGGGTCAGGGATGCGACTGGAGGACTTCACTACTCTAGTTGCATCCTTCACTCTCTGCAGCAC